CCTTTGCCTCGGGCTCGGACTTCGTGTGAATATGTCGCCCCTGCCTCCTGCGCGGCCTCGATCTCCGGCAGGTCGGCGGTCAGGAAGTACGTGTCCACTCCTGCGGCCCACAGCTCGCGCACCAACTGGGTCGTCATGAGCGTCTGCTTCACCATCACGTTGATGAAGTTGGCCTGCTTCTTGGTGAACCCCATGTCCTTGATCTGCCCGAGGTGCCGATTGCGCTGCTGCTTGCTGTTGGGCCCGCTGGCTGCGGCCGCGTCGGAGGCGGAGCCTGGGGTGGGAGCAGAGCTCTTGCCGCCCTTGTCCTTCTGCGGGGGGCCGCCGCCCTTGGCCTTGGCCAGCACGGGTGCGCCCTCGGCCTCTGCCCCTGGCGGCCGCTTCTCCAGCATCCACTTGGGCTTGGGGGTCGCCATCGCCAGCCCGTCTCTCAGGTATGAAAGGCAAGTGCCGCTCGCAAATGTGATCCTGGAGCTGAGCCAAATCGAAATACGAAGACGTGGCGCACACAGGACAAACAAGCCGGGGGACGACCACTGGATGTAGTGCATGCGCGCTGAGAACATCACAAACTCCCCGACGAAATGCCCGACAGAGGTGAGCCTTCGCGGTCTTCTGGAAAGCAAAGGAAGTGCGACACGCTGGACACTGGTTCGTGACGACACATCTGGCATAGTAGGAGAAGTTGCCATGAGAGCCGCCCTGGGTGTGGGTCTGGTGCGCGACGAGGGCTGCATGGGTGAAGAAGCGGGCGCCACACACGTCTCCATCATCTGTAGTGCATCTGCATACGTGCACGCAGCCAGAGGGACCCAGGAATTCCTCAATTCCATCCTGCGAGGCGGAGAGGCAGGGTCCGAAATCGATAATGTCCAGCTCAGTCTTACCGCTCTGCCAGATCTTGCGCAGAGCAGAAACATCAGCCGCCAGAAACTGATGCGATATGTAGTCGTCATGGAAGAGCGCATGGATGTCCTCGCCCCAGACGGAGCGCCAGTCTTCATAGTCTGTTAGAAGCTCGAGCCTGTAAACGTCAGTCACGAAACGAACGGCGAACGGGTTGGCGTGAACGGTGAGGCGGCCATCGGACAGGGTGGGGGCATTCTCGAAGCCGACGCGACCGAAGAGGAGGCTGATGACCTGGGAATGTTCTTCGGGCCATCTAACCATGGCCTGGTACCATCGAAGTCTCTGAACTAACAACTCGACCCCAGACGGAACAATATTCATCCATTTCCAGACCTCCCGAGAGTCCTTAATAATGGGATGATCTCCAGAACGGTCACACAAAGCCCCCACAGCAATACAACGGATCTTACCCAAGAGCGCGATGTCCAGCTGGGCCTCTTGGGAGCTCGTGAGGAGATACGGCGTAAGTCCAGACAACAGCGCACCTTGCACCACAGATATGAATACTAGCCTCTTCACCTTAAAAGGGGCCCCCGAGGTCCACAAATACTTAAAAGACATTCACCCCCTGTTGGCCGCTACTTTACTCAGTGCAAGCTGGTGTGAGAAGGCGCCAGAGGGCAACAACTGAGGTCCCAAGTACCTGGTGTGCGGGGCCACTCGGGCCCCCCCGACCTCCGCAGCGTAAAACTGGCGGGTGGCCTTGTAACCGCAAAGGCGGGGGACCAAAACTTGTTTCGACGTGTTTTGCTTGTATCCGTACGCAGCCAGGGCATTGCCGAGCTTGGCCTGGGCTTCGCGCGCTGCGGCGACAGCCTCGGAAAGTGCCCCCTCCTGGAGTAGCAACAAGTACGCCAGATCGTCCACGTATTTGAACAGGCCCGCATAGACCTCGCGCCCGAACACGGGGCACGACACGCACAAAGCAGGGTCCTGAAACTGGGCGAGCCACTCCTGGAGGGGGCGGGCAAAATCAACTCGAAATTCGTCGGGCGCACGGGGGTCCCCCATCAAAGCCCCGCTTTGGAGGTGAAGGGTGGTGGGGCGATCGACGCCCTCGAGGTGAAGTAGGTGCGTGGTGCGCCTGTCGCTGAGCAGGGCAACGTCCTCTGCTGGCAAATACTCTAAAAGTCCTTGATTCATGCGCTTGTGCTCGCAACAACCGAAAGCATTCTTCATGTCATCGAAAACAGCAATGTGCCACACGCGTGCGCTCCGCAGGCGATCCGCCAAGATCTGCGTGCCCAAAATGGCATTCTCTCGCCTGCGACACGGTATGCATCCATGGTCGTACTCCGCAGGCGCAGCGTGTGGGACCGTCCTATAGATGCCCCTGGCAACGGCTCGAAAGAAGGGGCAGAGGCCGTGCAGAAACCGAGTGCCGCCGTCTGGTTTGGGAGTCTGCCAACCGAGAGAAAACCCCGCACACGTAGGAAACCTCCCCACCACCCGCCAGCACGTGGCCAGACTTCCCAAACCAATCTTGATGGCCTCCACCTCAGGGGGCTCAGGCTTTCCGCCGACTCCGAAGGGAGAAATACGTGGCTTGCTAAAATACTTAGGCAGGAGAAGCATGAGCCAAATCTCGCCAGGGAGGGACCAGGCAGGGACGGAACGTCTGCGCGAAGCCTTGCGGAGCACCCACGAAGCTCTACGAAGGTCTCTGGCTCCCAACTCCCCCGCCGAGTCCCGCTCACCCATCCCTTGAGGAGCCAAAGAGGCCCGCGACAGTAAAACATTGTCTAACTGGACTGGGACCGCGGAGAGACCACCCTCGGAACCAGGAAGGCCCAGAGAGCCCGCGAGCTCATCAGCCGATGCAACGTGCCTGCGCACCGCCGCGTAGCTCCGTCGTTTGGGTCCCAGTCCAGTGCCCGCCAGTCTACGAGAGAAGTATTGCACGCTGGCGAGATCACGTTTGCGCCAGGCCCCATGTATGCCTTCAGTCCAAGTCCTGCGCAACGATCGCGTCCATCTTCGGACCTCCCACCTGATGCGATTCGCGAGGTCGCGGATCTGAAAATCGCAGTGGCAGTGGGGGAGGCCCATGGCGCGCAGCACCGCACGTCCACGGAGGAGGCGTCGTACCTGAAGTCGGTGCTGTGCCAGCTCCGCGCCTGGGGCCCGCCTGGCCCTGCCGAAGTGCTTCTTGGCAATCGGCGCCAGCGCGTCCAAGAAAGAAGCGTAGCCTGCGTCGACCATGTTGCTCTCGAAGTACCCCAGGTACGAGGGCGCCGCGCGCTGCAGGGCCAGGTTTGCCTCTTCCAAGAATCCCTCCCGCAGGCCTGGCGTCTGCAGCGCAGTCTCGATGGCGTCGAAGTTCCAGGAAGCCAAAATCTGCGAAGACCGCAGGCTCGGGACGCCCAGGTCCGCCTCCAGGAGCACGGGAGAGTGGTCACGCAGAATTCCCTTGGAGGGGTAGAGCTGGAGCTGCCTGGCCGCCTTGGTCATGGTGATCAGCTTTGACACGCGCGGCAGGGCTCCAGCGGGCAGGGCGTAGTGGTCGATCCAGGTAGACGACTTCTCGCCATTGTACGTGGGAGCAATCTTGAAAAAGGTGGTTGCGCAAGCAAAATGGTGTCGGTGCAGCACTTCACGGAGCCCTCGAGCGGCGTAGCCCATGCGAGACTGCACGTAGGGCCCGATGCAACTGAAGGAGCAACTGGTCTCATCCACCGCGAACGAGTCATTCAGGTCCGTGAGGATGATGGGGGTGGAGCGCTCGGGGGTAGTGTCCAGCAGTCCGTTCAACCACTCGAGTAGCACGTCGACCGTGCGCCTCCATGTGGCCGTCCCCGAGCGCGGGCCAGGCGGCGGGAAGTAGAGCGCGATGGCTGTGACATCGAGCGAACCAGTGACCACGCGCACCATCCCCGCACGGCCCAGCGCAGCGGCAGGTCCAGGGAGCACGCGGTGCACGCGCAGTCCAAGATCTCGGCGTCGTACTCCGATGGTGACACCTGCCGCTCTGTTGGTGAAGGGCCCCCTGCCGTACCCGAAGTGGTAGTAGTCGTGGTCCCCGATGTGCGTCTGTCGTCGCACCGCCTCGGACGGCACCGCCCGCAGGCGGGTGCCCAGCAGGAAGTGGAAAGGGAAGCCCCTAGCCAACAGCGCGATCTCGTCCAGCCTTCTATGCTGGATCAGGCTGCACACATTGAGCCCAAAAAATTTGCAGCGCATGAGAGTACCCTGGGGAGTTCGATAGGGCGGTGCAGGGCCCCTCCTGAACTAGAAAGTGTCGCTGAGATGTTCAAGGCGGGGACCCCCTGCATGGGCCCACTGAATCGCGGCTCGACACAGAAAGGGGCTGGAGGAGGAGGAGGAGGAGGAGGAGGAGGAGGAAGCGGAGGAGGAGGAGGAGGAGGAGCAGGAGGAGGAGGAGGAGGAGGAGGGAGGAGGAGGGGGAGGAGGAGGAAGGAAGGAGGTGGTGCCCCCACGGCAGCTCCCGCACCGGCCAAGAAGCGCACAGACACACACACCACGACACCACGCCCGACGGAAAGCTCCTGCCTTCGCACGCGCGCCGAGACCACCCCGCTCCTCCTCCCTTGTCCACATCCTTTTCCTGTACCTCCTTGCTCTGCTCCTCTCTCTCCTCCTCCTCCTCCTCCTCCTCCTCCCTCCTCCTCCCTCCTCCTCCCTCCTCCTCCTCCTCCACCTCCTCCTCCTCCTCCTCCTCCCCTTCCTCCTCCTCCAAACCCCCGGGGCCCCGCGAAGGACGGCCCTTTTTAGCCGCCCCGCGCGATCCCTGTGACGACCCTCGCGCGGGCGTTCAGGGTCGAGAGGGCCACTGGCGACCTGAAGTGAGTCCACGTGGAGCGATCCCCGCTCCCTTGCAGCGGAGCCCGTTCAAGATCCATGGGCGCGTGTCAGAAGCCAGAGCTCGTGCCGTCGCGGCGGAAACAGCACGCGTCCCTGGACGTTCAGCACTGGCCTGCGCGCACGGAGGCATGGGGCGCCAGAGAAGGCTCAACAATAGTCGAAGCCTTCTGGGACGCCTCTGGGCCCTTCCACGACGCCCCCCGCCTTCGTGGGAGGCCCGCGCCCTCGCCCACCAGATCCCCCGTGTGCCCCGCAAGGCCTTCTTCGTCATGTCGGTGCTGCCTTACCTGGACACGTTCCGGCGGCTCCTGGCCGACGTCGTGTCGGCGGCCCGCGGCAGCCCGGAGCGGCCCGGCGCGGGCGGACCCGAGGCGGCGCGGCGACGCCGCCGACGTCGGCGGCGGCCACGACGGCAACCAGGGCGACGGCGATGGCGGCGATCCTGGCGCCGGCGGCGGCGACGGCGGCGGCGGCGACGGCGATGGCGGCGACGACGTCGACGACGGCGGCGACATGGAGGGCGGCGACGGCGGAGACGGCGGGGGCAGCGTCGACGGCGGGGCGTCGCGCTTGGGGCGGGCGGCTCCGAGGCTGCGCGCGGGCTGGTCGCCCAGCTGTTCCACGCGGTGCCGCTGCCGCCAGACCACACCACGCAGGTCGTCGGGCAAAACTGTTGCTCCCTTTTTGCCGTGTATGTGCCAGTGTACCCACAAGTTGAATGCCTTGGTATGTGTATGTATACATACATATATACATAGATACATACAATATATACACGATCGGGTTTTAATTAGGGCAATATATACGCACACATACAATACATGGATACGCACAGCTTTAACTAGGGCAACATATATGTGTATACATGCATACATACATACATACATACATACATGCATGCATGCATGCATACAGACAGACAGACAGACAGACAGACAGACAGACAGACAGACAGACAGACAGACAGACATACACACATACATACATACATACATACATGCATGCATGCATGCATGCATGCATGCATGCATGCATGCATACATACATACATACATACATACATACATAGACTACTGTCATTGCTAGTGGCCCGCGACCCATCCCGTCACAGTGCCTGGGTCGTGGACAGGAAGGCTCGTTTTCGTCGCCACGGTTGGGTCCGCCTCGGGATGCTGGCCAGAGCGCCCGTCTGCGGGAAGGTCACCGGAGCAGGGTATCGCTCAGGAGGGGAAAAACACACAGGCACAAGTACTCGTCGACTCCGAGAAAATATGGGGAAATATGGGAAGTGGGGGGGAAGACAAAGACCCAGAACATATTGGAAAATATAAGGAATCCTGTTATTTGTGTGTATCTATTTGTGTGTCCCAGGACCCCTTGAGTCGTTCTGTCGCCCCATAGGTCGTGTTCTACGCCGGCCCGCGCAGCGTGAGCCTGCTGGACCAGAGCTTCGCGAGGGACTTCTCGTTCCGGCCCCTGCTGGCGTGCCTGCGCATCGAGCGGGTGAAGAAGCTGCTGGTGCTGATGCTGCTAGAGCGGAAGGTGGTACTGGCCACCCAGCGGATGAGCCGAGCCCTGCTCTACGCGGTCTGCGAGGTAGCGCGGGCGCTGCTCTTCCCGCTGGACTGGGAGCACGTCTACATCCCCGTGCTCCCGCCGGGTGACAGTTGGAGGAGGTACCTGGAGTGCCCAGCGCCCTACGTGATCGGAGTTGTCGATAGGCCAGACGCCATCTGCGAAGACGTCAAGGACAACCCTGATGTGTACATCTTCGACCTCGACAACGACCGCGTCCTCGACAGCGCGCGCGGCGAGCCTCTGCCTTCGTCTGCGCCGGCCCTGGAGGGACCACTCCAGAGGCTGAAGGACATGTTCGACTGGGAGCAGGGGCACAGGGAGTACTGGGACAGTTTCCACCTCGTCCAGGCCAGCCCAAGCAGGCGGGCCGGCGATGCGGCCGCGGCTGCGCCGGGCCCGACGCGGCTGGCCAGGCGCCTCGCGCTGGGCGGTGCCGCGGCCTGGTCGCCCGAGGGCGACGCCAGCCACCAGGCGGCTCTCGGCGCCCACGCCGGCTCGTACCTGAGCGCGTCGACCGAGCCCACGGAGGACAGCCCCGGGAGCGCCGAGGAGGAGGAGGAGGTGCCGCGCCGCAGGCGCGAGGGGCGGTTCGCCACGGCCCCCGCGGCGGCGGCTGCGCGCCACAGCCCGTACTGGTCCGAGGACACGGAGAAGAACTTCCGCCAGAAGGTGAGCGCCACGTTCCTGGAGGTGTTCGTGAAGCTGCTGCACGCCTACCCGGGTTACGCGGTTGCGGCGGAGGCGGGGACGGTGGCCTTCGACGAGGAGGCCTTCCTCGCGCAGGCGCAGCCTGCAGACGTGCCTCTGCTGCGGAAGCTCTTCCGCACCAACACCTGGGATAACTTCATCCACTTGTCGCCAGATCACCCTCGCGTGAGGCTGTTCCGACAGGCGATCGACTTGTACGGAGCCTGGATGCAGGTGCCTCCTTCGGGCAGGAGGCCCTTCGATGACGAGCTGCGGCTCATGGTCGCGAAGTTCTACGAGCCAGCCAACACAGTCGCCGCCCCTGAGCACCCTGGGAGGCCTCTGGGCCCCCTGTGTTACAGATCTCGGCAGAGAGGCAAGAGCTTCGCTCCCATAGGCAGCTTGGGCCTGGCCCTGCTGGAGGGACCCACTGCTGGTACAGGGCCCAGGCCGGGGCTGGCTGTGCCCGCGGCCGCACTGCGGCACACGCAGGTGCCAGCAGCCGCCTCTCAGCTTTTCGTGGAGGCCGTGGGGCCCGCGCTGGCCATGCTGCAGGAACAGCCTCCCTGGCCCCTGCCGCTCCTGGCCCAGCTGCTGCGGCAGCTGGCGGTGGAGCCGTCGGGGGGGCTCCGGTGCGCGCCCGAAGCCACGCGGGCGGCGGCCTCAGAGGAGGCCCTGTCGCCCGACAAGCTGCTGGCCCTTGGTGAGTCGGAGGAGGTCGTGCAGATGCATGCCGCCTGCTTTCTGCCTGGAGTCGGTGACATCAGAGACTCCTGCCCGGACTGTGGGTGCGACGGCAGTCTCTGGGACACCATCCGGGCGTCGCTGGCGGCCGCGGGCCCCAGAGGCGGCCTCCTCGGCGAGCAGTATGCCCAGCCCCCCTGTGCGCGGTGCGGGCGGCCGTGGGAGCCGCGCTTCGGGTTCCTGTCTGGCGCCGCCGGGCGCACGCCGGGACAGGGCGCGCTGCCACTGCTGACCGTGCCAGAGTGCGTGGGCCGCATACGCGAGTCCGACGGCAACCAGGAGGAGGTGGCCTGGTGCCTGCGCGTCTTCTTCGGCCTGCGCGTGGAGATCTCCGTCGCGGGGGCCGCCGTGGGCTGTGCCACGTTCGAGGCGCTCTGCCGCGCCTACGCGCGCCGCAGCGCCGCCTCGAGGGCGGCGGCGCGGGAGGGCCCGGTGGGCGGCTCCGCCCTCGCCGCGGCGTCGGCGGACCCGCGGGTGCAGGGCGAGGGCGCTGTGGCAAAGAACAGCTTCGCCATGACCCTGGACGGCGCAGCCACCGGCCCAGCCCTGGGCCGTGCACACGACGTCGAGCTCAGCGACGCTGCGGACGCCGCGGCCTCGGACGACGACGCCGCCAGCGACGCCGCGGACGCCGCCGAGGCTGACCTGTGGCTGGATCAGAAGGCCCGCACTCCGCGCACGCCGGGCACGCCTGCTGGGCGCGGAACTCCGGCGGGGGATTTGCCCAACTCGGAGTCGAGCGGTCTCAACGTCCCGCCGGCTGCGGCGCCCAGCGCACGGCTCCCAGCTGCACCCTTGGAGGCAGCTCCTGTTCAGACTCTGCCGCCGACGCCCACGCGGCTCGAGGAGGCGTTCGCTGGCGCAGCGCGGGAAGTCTCCGCGGCTGACGCCGACGACCGTCGTTCGGATGACCTGGCAGCGACCGACCGAACGCGGCTTGCGGAGGCGACCTGCGAGGGCAGCTTGCAGGACCTGATGGCGACCGCGCGCGACCGGACACAGCTCATGGAGGCGAGCGTTTTTGTTCATTCCCGGGCGTTACGGGGGGTCGGGGGCGGGGGGCCAGTGACGTCACGTTTCGCGCTGGCGCTGTCTGGGAATGTTTGGAAATACGTAGCACCCTGTAGTTGCGGAGTGAGGGCGCGGCGGGGACGTCGGCAGTCCGCGAGGCTCTGAAGAAGCCCGCCACAGGCGCATAATTTGCACAAATTCTACAACGAGCTCGCCGTGGGAGCCGGTTTTTTCGTTAAAGCAATGTAGGTGTGTCGCGGGTGGGTCGCGGGTATGTCGCGTGTGGGTCGTGGGGTCGGGTCGCGGGTGGATCGCGGGTGGGTCGCGGGTGGTTCGCGAGGTGGGTCGCGGGTGGGTCGCGAGCCGGTTCGCGGGGGGGACGACGACAACAAACAACAAACAACAAGCAACAAGCAACAACAAACAATAGCAACACCAATCTGCACCACAGAACCTCACTTCAGCCACGCGCCCAGGGACAGTGAATGAGCGTTCGGCCCCCTCACTTTGATAGCCAGAGCCACTTCGGAGGCCAGCACGAATCGTGATCTTGCCTGGGGGGGGGAGGGGTGCGGCCAGGGCCAGCAACCGCCGCTATCGCGAAAGATAAAAACCCAGACCCCCGATGCCATATTTTTTTCATGACGTGGCACCCCATCGGTCTGGACCCCTTCCCCGGGACCGGTTTTTCGTCCTGGGTCGGTTTTTTGACAGTCCCGAGGCCTGGTAAGGGCCCCTGGAGGCCGAACATAAAATTACCCTAGTGCGACCCTACCTAGAAGTTGGAGCCCCTAGGAAAGCAGCATTAGTTGCTATGCTATGCTATGCCATGCTATGCTGCGCTATGCTATGCTATGCTATGCTATGCTGCGCTATGCTATGCTATGCTATGTTATGCGAGGTTATACTATGTTAAGTTATGATATGTCATGCTGCGCTGTGCTATGCTAGGCTATGGCATGTTATGCTAAGTATGATATGATATGACATGCTATGACATGCTGTGCTGTGCTGCGCTGTGCTATGCTGTGCTGTGCTGTGGTGTGCTGCGCTATGCTATGTTATGTTATGCTATGCTGTGCTGCGCTGTGCTATGCTGGGCTTTGCTATGATATGCTGTGCTGCGCTGTCCTGTGCTACGCTATGCTATGCTGTGCTCTGCTATGCTAAAGCTCAGCGAAGCTAAGCTGAAGGTAAGCTAAGCTAATATAAACCTGAGCTAAGCTGAAGCTAAGCTAAGATAATATTAAAGATGCTAAGCTAAGATGGGATAAGCAACGCTAAGCTAAGGGAACGTCACTGGGGGAACCGCGGAGCGGATGCCGGGGGAACCGCCCGGGGCGGTTTACACTGCCCGGCCCTTTAAGCATACCGAGTAAGAACCCTTCTAGGCAGAGCCTAGGCAGGGAACATACAAACGAACATCTTCCGTCATGATTTTGCTCATGACCCGAGGAGGCCGGGGAAGAACGCTCAAGACCCAGACATCCGGCGTCTCGATTTGTGCAAAGCACGGGCCCCCGACCACTTCGACCACTTCTCCTCGGGACCCGCTTCTCATGCTCGGTCGCTTGTTGCCACGACCCCGGGGGCCCGGCGTGGGCCCCGCGAGAGGCCGAAGAGACTGCAGCGCCTCTGTCCCGACGGGTTTCGAGACGCTGGGCGTCCGGGAGAGAAAAACGCCCTCGAGGCGGCGCTGCTGGAGACGACGCTGCGGCCGCCATCGACGGAGGCCTTCTCCCGCAATCCTCCTCCTCCTCCTCCTCCTCCTCCTCCTCCTCCTCTTCCTCCTCCTCCTCCCTCATCTCCTCCTCCTCCTCCCTCATCTCCTCCTCCTCCTCCGCCGGCAGACAGGGATAGGGGGAAGGGGGAAGGCTTCTCTCGGAAGCACCCCTGCTTTTTCAGAAGGCGCGGGCCGTGTCTGCAGATGTAGGGCCGGCGCCTTGTAAGAAGCAGCCTTCTGCTAAGAAACCCCTCCCCCTCCCCAACTATACCCCCTTGGTGCGCGCCGCCAAGAATGGAGGGCCATTCCAGGGCGTTCGCTGTGGCCTCGTGTGGAGGGGGGCCTGCGGGCGCCCCAGACCGCGGGGCCGGGCAGGTGAGCACGGTGGCGCTTCCCGCCATGCCATCTGCAGCTTGGGCGCTAAAATAAGAGCCGTTCCGGGGTCGGAGGGGTTTCGAGCAGCCGCCCGTCGGAGCTCTCTGTCGAGGAGGGGGCAGCAGGCACTGGCCCCCTGCTCCTCCTCCACCTCCTCCTCCTTCTGCGCCTGCGCCCCCGCCTCCGCCGCCTCCTCCTCCTCCTCGTCCTCCTCCTCGTCCTCCTCCTCCTCCTCCTCCTCCTCCTCGTCCTCCTCCTCCGCTCCTCCTCCTCCTCCTCCTCCTCCTCCTCCTCCTCCTCCTCCTCCCCCTCCTCCTCCTCCTCCTCCTCCTCATCCGCCTCCTCTTTCTCCTGAGGCCTTCTGGGCGCCGCGAGCGCGGGAGGGAGACGAGCCGCCCGCGGAGGCGGCTCTGCCCCCCGCCGCTCGGACACGCTGCGGTTCGGCCGCCGCCGCGGGGCACCTGGGCCGCCGCTGGCCCGCTCAAGGGTCGGGCGGGCGCCTCGCAGGGGAGGGGGAGGAGGAAGAGGAGGAGGAGGAGGAGGAGGAGGAGGAGGA